CGGCTGCCGTCACATTTCAAGTGTTGAAACAGGTGACAGAAAAAAAAAGCGACATTAAGACCAGCAGCAAAACGAAACTCGTTGCTGCAACAGAACCAACTGCACTTGAAGCCAACACTTTTGAGCTGCTGCCAAGGAAAATGGCAATTGTTTTGATTAGGCTTAAGTAGTTGGGCAATGCGCTACCTGTGCAACAAAATCGAGTTACTGTGATTAGGCCCCTATTAAAAAGTATTTAAAGCTCGAATTAAAACACAAACATAATATATGTGGAGCATACAAAATTAGCTGACCAACAATAGTATAATAAACCTAGTTATTTAGAATAAGACACAAACTTATTTGATTGGTTTCATAAATATATCAACAAAATCCCTTTTTAAAAAAAGTTTTCCGCCCCATGTTCGACTTAACTGGGCAGAAGAAAAGTGATAAAATAAATTATTTAACATATTTGCATATTTTGAAAGCAACAATTTCGTTGTCTCTATTTTTTTTTTTTTATAGCATTGTAAATAAGTATTTAATCACATAGTAGACAAGTAGAAGAGATTTGAAATTCACGGTTTCACAAGTTTCCGGTAGCTTATCAGTTAGTTCAACAGGGCGCCCACTCTAATTGCAATATAACAGTCGTTAAGTATGCCATTAGGGTTATCATTTAACGAATTAAGGCTATAAATTACTGAAGAATTGGAGTGCTTTACGTTTGTTTACCTAAAAGATAAGGAAAAACGAACAAACGAAAAAAAATTTAAAGATTAGTTTGTAAAATCAAAAATTTTAGCTGTGGTTCGCAAAATGAGATAATAATTTTTAAGTTGAAAAAATATTCTTAATTGTTTTAGTAGCAGTTTCGTGGTCCTCCATGCCCAAGCCTTAGCTCATCTGCTTTTTTTCCTTTTTAATTTGAAAGCCAGATGACTTTCCATGAAAGTGCAGCACAAGTCAGTGCTAAGAAGCGCGTTACTCAAAAACAACTAGAACATAGACAGCAAAACAGGGTGGGCGCAATATGAAAAAATGTTTTAATTACTCATCTCAAGGCGAATCCACAGACCCTTTCCCCGTTGCCCCTGCCGATTGAAGTTTAAAAGGGCTGTGAAGGGAGGTCAAAGGTAAAAGCATATTCATTAAATTAAATAAGTTAGTAAAAATTCTTTTTAAAATACCACGTCACCAAATGAGCGTGTCTGAATAGAAAATAATGTTTCAACATCGAATTTAACAATATTTTTAAAACATATAAATTTGCCTTGAAAAGGAATTAAGTAAGCTAATAAATAAAATTAAAATATCTTTGATTTGGTTTTATATTCTGAAATCATAAAATTATTATTTGTATTAGCTTACAAAAATTTGTTTTGAAAAATCGAATTTAAAAGCCCCGTTTTAATTTTAATTACAAATTATTTAAATATATTTTAATGAATTTAACTTCTTATTTTACTTTCAATTTAAATTAAAATTAAGCTGCTTTCCATAAATAACAGTAATATTTCGAATCGTAATTGTTTCTGTGTTGTTACTTCTAATAAAATCGGCAGAGATCTTCTCGCAATTGTTGCTGAAACACTCGAATGCCTTCATTCTGATATTTTCTCCCCGGTTGCTGCTGTTGTGTGCTAAATAGTTCCCCCAGGGCCGAACCCACTCGAGTCGTGCTAATGAGAACACCCCAGTGACAAGGAGACTTTGACAAGGACGAGCGAGTGCAGATGTAGATGCCAAAGGACGGTTTTAATGCATGGTGCTGCATTATGCAAATACTCGGGCGGAGCACAACAATGTTTTACTGCAGTGGCGGAGTGGAGTGGACGCTGCCAAGAACGAAATAAGGAGGTTTGCAGATCCTTAGCCAGGGCCTGCGGCAATGCAGCGTGCTCCATTTGCACACATTTCGACAGGGTAATTAATTATTCTAAATTCGTTTAGAAGACGGAAAAAGCTTATTCAAGAAAAATAAAGGGGCTGCATTGTTGAACTCAGTTTTCTTAGCCAATCTTAATAGGAAATCTCAATAATAGTATTTCCGGAGGACATTTAATCAAACAAATATTTCTTTTGATTCAAAAATGATATTTATACATTTTTAAAAAAATAAATAAAACTATCAGACAAAAATGTAATATTTTGCTACAAATAAAAAAAAAAAATGATTCCCAAGGCAATTCAATTTTAATTTAAATTAAAATAAAAATTATAATAAGTACAGAAGACAATTTGAGAAATAGTGTTGGTTTTTATTTTAAATTTGATAATATAAGTAATAAATTGGGTACCAACTCGCATCTTTTTTAAATTTTAAATCTAAATGACTATGATAAATAAAACCCACAATTTAGGAAATGGTATTTGTTTTAATTTTTATTCAAATAATCGATTTGCAATCTGTTGTTTGAGTGTTTTGCTCATTATTGTTTTGTACACAGCTTCGTTGAAGCGGTCATGGTTCTAAGAAAAATAATATGCCCATTAATCTTTCTTGTATCCGTTTACCGCTCGAAATGCTGGGCAATTCATCCCTGAAATGTTATGTGGCCAGGCCAGCAACTTGGCGCCCAGAACCACCTTTGACCAACGCATTGGATGACTTTTAAGTGGATCTGAGGCTTAGATCTACGGGCGGAACAGTGAGGTCCTGACATTTGCGCTGGCCATGCGCAATTAATTACAAAAGTGTTTGCGGACAAATGCCGCACAACAAGAAGTGTTTGTGTTGGTGGGGGTGTATGGAGTGTTTGGGGTGTATGGGGTATATCCTGTGAACCCCAACTGGACATGGCCATGAGGAAATCCAGTGTCGGAGGGCATTTCTTTTTGCCAGCTCGTCGGCTCACAAGCGTTTATGTGGCTCAAGTGGTCCAGAGACCGAGAGAAGCGGCAGCTCTTTGCTTTGAGGTTATTTACTTTTAATGACTCGCAAACTACAGCGGCATGCGGGCACCAGTGCCACATGGCGTATGCGTCATGTGTGGACTGCTTAAGTGTTTTCAGATATCGCGCATCAGTAGCCAACGTCAGCCAGCCCTCGGCCCCATGGTTTGTTGACTTTTAGACGCTGTTTGTTTGTTTGTCAGCACAATTTTGTTTTCTCTCTTTTTTTTTTTTTTTTTGCACACATTTCCCCATTTTTTGTATTTTACTTTTTGGCTTTTCATCTTGGCATCGGCGCAGACAAGCGGCCACATAAATGAGCTTTGAAGTTTGCATACGCGAGTGCATACTGCATGCAGTCCCACTGGCTGAAGGGATAATGCGACGCAATTATAGACTGAGCCTGGATCCACCCCAATCCACTGCTTCTTATATCCTTGAAAATAAATTGTTTTGTTAATTATTTATGGTTGGTTTAATGAGTGTGTGCCGTACTCTGTGTTTACTGTACTCACTGTTCTCTGGCGGTCTGGTTGGTCTGGTTGGTGTCTCCGCCTGGGACGTCGACTTCCATGAGTTTGTTATACTTTTGCATTTTGCAATTATTTTAATGAGTTTTGCATTTAAGCGATTTTATGCAATCATCGTCATTCGCAATAGTGTTGGCTGCAAAAAGGGATATGTGCATAAATACGAATGTGCAGCATAATTGCCGTTTTTGCTTCATTAAAAAATAGGTCTTTATATGGTCGGCAGACTCATTAAAAGTTGAACAAATTGTATCCCATTCAGTCCGACCACGTCTTTTATTTGCACTGATTCTCGATTTACAAAGTATTTTGAAAAATTTCAAAACAAATCCATAATAAAAAATTTATTTCTAAATTTTAACAAAAAAATTTGTTTCTGCTTACTTCAAATTGAAAACAATATTTGAGATTTCTTTCATTTATACTTTCGTTTGTAAATAAAGCTGTAATACAAATACTCGTATTGAATAATTGCAAAATTGTTAGTGAAGCCGACAAATTATTGAGACAATGGAAGGAATCATAGATATGGGAGGGCATATATATATCATTGGCTCACCCGCTAATATTCAGCGACATCTGACCAACATAAGGCGTTTTCAGGGACATAACCATGATCGTGGATTTGAGGTAATGCCTACAATCTTTGAACTGGTGCCCTTGCCTCCAGTTCATCCCCAAAATTCGGGCATTGACTTATACGCAGGCGGCGATGGACCGCACATCATTCCCCGATAATGCAGACCCCTCTTTGATAATCTTTCCCAACCCAACAATCCAAAATCCGGTTCAGGATGGAGATCCAGATGCCGGAGAACATTTCTGTCACCAGTGCTTTCTTCAAGAAGATACTGTCCATCCTTGGCGTTGATTTAAGTCAAGACTTCGAACTTGGTCTATCAAACAATGCCAATTTAAGAATACAACAGTGTGTGATGAGCTTTGCGCCGTACTGGATAAAAGATTTTCCCAGAAGCCAGAATAAGTTATATAATTAGTATCATTTTTCATGTCTCAAGTAATAAAAGTAATTATTAGCTTCAGGAATAGCTTATTAATCCCCAAAAAAACCCAGTTTGTCAGATTTCTTTAAACAATAATCAAACTCATAAATGATTGCGAGAACAAAGTCACAATACTCCCATGTGGTCACAATATTCAAAACACTTCCCTCCAAGTAATCAGGTACTTATGGGGGCCTGAAGGGATAATAAAATGCTAATAAAAACCTTTAGCCTCCTCAGTATCAGCGCCTTGTTTGGGGTCTGAATTGGCCCAGTTTTCAACTCTACACTTTAGTACAAATTCATAAACATTTCATAAGAAGTACCATCGCGTAATCGTCAATGGGAACTAATTTTACTAATCGCTGGGCACGATTAGAACCAATTAAGATATGCATTGAATGGCGATCGCGAATTCAATGAACTTGAATTAGTATTTGCCTGAGCTTACGGCTATCGTTAAACTGTTTTATTAGCCCTAAGCCCAAGCACAAGCCTCTCGAGGGTCCAAAATGATTGCTTATCAAACCGAACCAGTTCTATAAAAGAGGCGACGTTTTCGTTAGAAAGTCAGTTCTGTGCTCGAATCGAAGCTGACTTCGCGTTCGGTTCGAAATTAAATTGGAAAGTTGTGGTCGCCATGAAATATTTAAGCGGCATTGTGCTCTTTGTCGCCCTTTTGGCCCTCAGTGTGCGGCCATCTGAGCAGGCTTGTGGATATGAGGTGAGCAGTGGAACGAAAAAAGAAGTTATAAAACCCAAAAAGGATGTGCATATCGGAATTGTGATTAGCCGAGCTGAAAAATGTGTAGAGTTTTATTTTCAAGATGGTTAATCGTTGATTCCTTAAACTAACAGTTTTAAAAAAGCAATGTTCACAAATAAAAAGAGCACTTAAATAAACTATAGTTTTATCCAGAAAGCAACTAAGTTCATTTTGAATACATTTCTGATTGTTTTCAATTTTGGAATATTTATATTGCTAATAACCTGGCTAACATGGTTAATGGATTACGTTTCACAACAGTGCCAAAGAAATAACTAAAAATTCATTCACTTGCTTCAGGCATGTCCCAAAACGAAGACGAACATGATCAACATTCACATGGTTCCCCACTCCCACGATGATGTGGGCTGGCTGAAGACCGTTGATCAGTACTTCTATGGCCACAAGAGCAACATTCAGCACGCCGGAGTCCAGTACATCATCGACACTGTGATCTCAGAGCTGATCAAGGATCCCGCTCGTCGCTTCATCCAGGTGGAGACCTCCTTCTTCGCCAAGTGGTGGGCAGAGCAGTCGGAGACTGTGAAGCAGGTGGTGAAGAAGCTGGTCAACGAGGGTCGTCTGGAGTTCACCGGTGGTGCCTGGAGCATGAACGACGAGGCTGCCGTCAACTACCAGAGTGTGATCGATCAGTTTACCCTGGGATTGAAGTGAGAGCTGGCAGAAATGCAATGAACAGTGATGGGTTTAATGGCTTTTGGCATCTTCCAGATTCTTGGACGACACCTTCGGCTCTTGTGCTCGTCCCCGCATTGGCTGGCAGATCGATCCCTTCGGTCATTCCCGCGAGCAGGCCTCGATCTTTGCCCAGATGGGCTACGATGGAGAGTTCTTTGCCCGCATGGACCACCGCGACAAGAACAACCGCATCGACAACCTGGGCATGGAGATGATCTGGGATGCCAGCGACTCGCTGGCCAACGATGAGATCTTCACTGGCCTGCTGTACCGTCATTACTCGGCCCCTCCCGGCTACTGCTTTGATGTGCACTGCGGTGACGATCCGATCATCGATACCAAGAGCTACGACAACAATGTCAAGTCGCGCGTGGATGACTTCATCAGCTATGTGACTCAGGTGGCCAAGCACTTCCGGTCCAACCACATCATGATCCCCATGGGAGATGACTTCCAGTACGAAGATGCCCAGGTCAACTTCAAGAACATGGACAAGTTGATTAAGTAAGTGACTAGGAATTCATATTTAGCCAGGAGACTTACACTCTTTCGTTGATTTCCAGGTACGTTAATGAGCGCCAGGCCGAGGGCTCCACATTCAACCTGTTCTACTCCACACCCGCCTGCTACCTGAACTCCCTGCACGAGGGTCTCCAGACCTGGCCCAACAAGACCCAGGACTTCTTCCCCTACGGCAGTGACGACAACAGCTACTGGACCGGCTACTTCACTTCCCGCCCCACCCAGAAGCGGTTCGAGCGCGATGGCAACCACATTCTGCAGGTGGCCAAGCAACTGAGTGTCTTTGCCGAGCTGAACAGCCAGCAGCAGAAGGAGGACCTCGAGTACCTTCGCGAGATCATGGGTGTGATGCAGCACCACGACGCCATCACCGGAACCGAGAAGCAGGCCGTGTCCAATGACTACGATCGCCTTTTGTACGACGGCATCCTCGGTGGTGTCAACACTGCCCGCGATGGTCTTCGAAAACTAACCAATCTCCCTAATGGAGAGTTCGAAAGTTGTCTGCAGTTGAACATTAGTGAGTGCGCCTTCGCCAAGGACAATGCTGACAACCTGGTGGTGACCCTCTACAACCCATTGGCCCACACTTCCACCCAGTATGTGCGAGTGCCTGTGAAGGAGGCCAAATACCAGGTGACCGATGAGAAGGGCCGTGTGGTGGCCTCCGAATTGGTGCCAGTTGCCTCGCAAGTTCTGGCTCTGGAGTTCCGCAACAACGACACTCAGCATGAGTTGATCTTCAAGGCTTCCGTCAACAAGATCGCTAACTATTACATCAAGAAGGTCGAAAGCCAGGAGAGCAGGAGCGTTGCCGTCCACACTCAACCCAAGAAGTCCGTCAAGGAAGCGAAATCTAGCTTGGAGGTGCCAAAGCGTTTCAAGAAGGTTCACTCTCTAAAGAACGCAACTGAAACCCACGATGACGAAGATGGAGAGACTGTGGTGCAGACTTCGGTAGGTCTACAAGCATTAATTCATTAAGTGAACTATTTTAACAAACTTCATCCTTCCTAGCAAATCAAACTGGTGATCGACAACAAAACTGGTCTCTTGAAGACCGTCGAAATGAACGGAGTCTCCGAGAACATTGACCAGAGCTATGGCGTTTACAGGACTTACGACTCCGGTGCCTATGTCTTCCGTCAGTACCACCAGGCAGACTTTATCATCCAGGACGAAGGGGTTGAGTTCACGGTCTACGATGGAGCGTTGGTCAAGGAAGTCCACCAGCAGTTCAGCGAGTATGTCTCTCAGGTCATCCGCATCTACGAGGGCAAGAACATTGTGGAGTTCGAGTGGCAGGTGGGACCCATTGAGAGGGAAGAAGACTTCGGCAGGGAAGTGGTCATCATCTTCAACAGTACGATTGCCTCCAATGGCGTTTCCTATACCGACTCCAACGGCCGCGAGATGATCAGGCGTGTGAAGGACCAGCGTGAGGACTTTACCCCCGGTCTCGACAGGCAGCCAACTGCCGGAAACTATTACCCGATCACATCCCGCATTGCTCTGCAGGACAGCAACAAGCGGATTGCCCTGCTGAACGACCGTGCTCAGGGCGGAGCCAGCATGAACGATGGACAACTGGAGCTCATGTTGCACCGCCGCCTTGTCCGTGATGACGGCTACGGCGTGGGAGAGGCCTTGAACGAGGAGAAGTACGGTTCGCCCATGATTGCCCGCGGAAAGATCTACCTGATCCTCAGCCCGGTCGATGAGTCCACGTCCGTGGAGCGGGAGGCCGAGAAGGAGATCCACCTGCCCTTCTGGAAGTTCTTCAGCAAGAACACCGGAAGCAGCAGTTCGGCTTTCAAGTCGGTTCCCAGCTTCGATGACTTCCCCAAGTCGGTGCATCTGCTTACCCTGGAGCCTTTCAACGACGACGAAGTTCTGCTGCGTGTGGAGAACTTCTTGGACCACACCGAGGGCAAAGTGGTTAGCTTCAACATTCGTCCGATCTTCGATTACCTGAATGGAGTGGAGATCCGCGAAACCACTTTGGACGGCAACCTGCCTTTGAGTGACATGAAGCGATTCAAGTTCCACCACGATAACGCAGGACACAGGCCCGATGACGTGGAGTTCTACACCTCGGCCCACAAGCCTTTGGCTGCTGATAAGTCTCAGGAAGCCTCCGAGTTCAGCGTCACCCTGCACCCAATGCAGATCCGTACATTCATTATCAAGACGGAGTAAGCCAAAGTTCTCAGTACAGTATTTAATGAAATGTAAATATTAAAATAAACAAGTTCAACGACAAATAAAAACGTATCTTATTTTTTGAAAATATTTATTAAAATCATTGATTGGGGAATTTTATCTTCCGTTTTGGGGAAAAGCATTGATTAGGACAACAATTAAAAAATATTGAGAGCCTGAAAAACAAAATGTGTAACAGCTGGTGAAAAATGTTTGTTAAAAGCACATCGACTAAAATAATGGCTAGGAATGATGACAAAAATATAAAAACTTCTTAAACTATAGTTCGTTTCTTCCGTATCTATTACTGGCCATACTATGACAAGCTTCAAAGAGTCTCAAAAACTAATAGCCTCAATCGAAATCATTAGCTTAGCTTTGCAAAAACACTCAAAGATTGGAAAAACCTAATTGGCAAAATGCGACGGTTTGGTTTAAAAGGAGTATGCAGCCAGGAGCAGACATGGTTGCTGAAACAGAAGTCCTTGCTTCATATGTGAGATAAATTCGTAAATTGCCTTTCTTTAAGGCAGTGGTAAAAAAATCTAACACCATATACCATTTTCGGGATAGAGGTAAGTGGATGATTCTCTTAAGAAATTACGTCTTCAAGGCTTCGATTAAATTTGAAACTGTTTATCGTGAAGTAAAAAAAGTTTGGGTTGGAAGCAAGGAGTTTGGGAAAAACTTAAGTCCTATTTTCCTCGATAAGGCCGATTTTCAACCGGTTTGTACCCGATACTTACTCTATGCAACCGAATTCCTAAAAATTACAACAAAAATGTACCATAACATTAATTTAGTCCCATTTTTTATAAGTTCCCTTTGCGATGGCCCACCAAGTATTTTGTTGCCGACCGAGAACCAGGTTGACACAAGTGTTTTGCTGGTGTTGGATGAAATAATCGCTTGCCTCGATACTCAGCGATATCTCATCACTTGCACTTTGCGTGGGTCCTCCAATTTCCAATTTATTCGTTTTTAATGTATTTCAAGGGCCGGTATTACTTGATTATTTTCAGTACAAATCCATAAACAATGTTAATGTGCAATCTACCATTCAAAATGGATTTGTCTTATCTACAGATAAGCACTGCAACTCCATCAAAACAGAAGCAAGTTCATCAACAGTTTTATAGAGGCTCATTAAGATAGTTCCATTGGTTTATTTATAAGCTTTAAAGTCAAATCGTCATTGAATTATTATCGAAAAAAAACCGGTAATTGATTTTTAAGCATGCTTGAGTTTACTTAATGCGAGCGAGATAGGTTCAAGTACCGAAAGCTTATCAACAATCTCTGATATAAATGGGCCAGCTTTTGAAACTGAAGAAGTCAGTAGGTGGCCTGCGTTTAAGGCAATTGCTACATCAAAAACTTGTGGATCCTGCAATGAAGTTTCTGGGCATCGTCCTTTGCGGTGCCTTATTGGCAATCCATGCAAAGTCTGCTCAAGCTGTCTGTGGATATGAGGTAAGGAAACACAAGGACGTTGAGAAACTCAAGGATTGGTTCTTACGCAACAAGACGGTATAACGAACGAACTTTTGGTTTGCAGTCATGTCACGCAACCAAGTCAAACATGGTCAACATCCACTTGGTTCCCCACTCCCACGATGATGTGGGCTGGCTGAAAACGGTTGATCAGTATTATTATGGCCACAAGAACAACATTCAACACGCTGGAGTCCAGTACATTATCGACACAGTGATCTCTGAGCTCATCAAGGATCCCGCTCGTCGCTTCATCCAAGTTGAGACCTCCTTCTTCGCCAAGTGGTGGGACGAGCAGTCGGAGACGGTCAGGGCCATTGTCAAGAAGCTGGTTAACGAGGGGCGTCTTCAGTTCACCAACGGAGCCTGGAGCATGAACGACGAGGCTGCCGTCAACTACCAGAGTGTGATCGATCAGTTCACCGTCGGATTAAAGTGAGTAATTGCAGGGTTTTCAACATTAATAGATTCAACAAAATTGTTTAATGACAGATTCCTGGACGACACCTTCGGAGTATGTGGTCGTCCTCGAGTTGGCTGGCAAATCGATCCTTTTGGGCACTCCCGTGAACAGGCATCTCTGTACGCTCAGATGGGCTACGATGGCGAGTTCTTCTCCCGCATGGACCATAACGACAAGGGACGACGCATGAACGACCTGGCCCTGGAGATGGTTTGGGATGCCAGTGAGTCACTTGGTGATGTCAAGCTGTTCACTGGACTCCTCTATACCTTCTACTGGGACACCCCCGGATTTTGCTTCGACGTGCACTGCAGCGACGATCCGATTATCGACGGCGATAGTTACGACAACAATGTGAAGTCCAGGGTGGACGATTTCATCGCCTACGCCGCTAAAGTGGCCGAAAAGTTCCGCACGAACCACATCATGATTCCGATGGGCGGAGACTTCCAGTATGAAGATGCTGAGGTTAACTTCAAGAACATGGACAAACTAATTAAGTAAGGATTTAGCATGGATTTTCTTGGAAAAATATTAAACACAATTATTAAACTTCATTCATTAGGTACATCAACGAACGTCAAGCAAGTGGCTCTAAGTACAACATCTTCTACTCAACACCCGGTTGCTACTTGAACTCAGTGCACAAGAGTGTGCAGTCCTACCCAAACAAAACCCTCGACTTCTTCCCATATGGCAGTGATACTAATAGTTTTTGGACTGGTTATTACACCTCTCGTCCTACCCAGAAGCGTTTTGAGCGTGAAGGCAACCACATTCTTCAGGTGGCCAAGCAGCTTAGCGCCTTTGCCGAACTCTCAAGCCCACAGCAAAAGGAAGATCTTGAGTACCTTCGCCAGATCATGGGTGTGATGCAGCACCATGACGCCATTACTGGAACTGAAAAGCAGGCCGTGTCCGACGACTACGATCGTCTGTTGTATGACGCCATCGTTGGAGGTGTCAATACTGCCCGCGATGCACTGCGAAAACTAACCAATCTCCCCAATGGAGAGTTTGAATGTTGTCTTCAGCTGAACATTAGTGAGTGCGCCTTTACCAAGGACAGTGCTGACAATGTGGTTGTGACCCTCTACAACCCACTGGCTCACACCACCAGCCAGTATGTGCGAGTGCCCGTCAAGAACGAGAACTACCAGGTGACGGATGAGAAGGGTCGTGTGGTCGCTTCCGAATTGGTTCCAGTTCCTTGGCAGGTCCTCGCCCTGGAGTTCCGCAACAACGACACTCAGCATGAGTTGGTCTTCAAGGCTTCCGTCAACAAGATCGCTAGCTACTACATCAGTAAGGTTGATAAACAGCAGAGCACTACTAAAGTTCTTTCCAATAAGCCAGCCAACGCAGAAGAACATAGCTTAAAGGACAATGCTGAGACCCATGACGACGAAGAGACTGTGGTGCAGACTTCGGTTAGTCCACTTTACAATTGTTAAGGAAGTTCTGCTACTAAACTTTATATATTTTACTTTTATTAGCTGATCAAATTAGTGATCAACAACAAAACAGGCCTATTGAAGAGGGTCGAAATGAACGGAGTCTCCGAGAACATTGACCAGAGCTATGGTATTTACAGGACCTATGACTCCGGTGCCTATGTCTTCCGTCAATATAACCAAGGAGACTTCGTCATCCAGGAAGATGGAGTCGAGTTCACTGTTTACGATGGAGCGTTGGTCAAGGAAGTTCACCAGCAGTTCAATGAGTTCATATCCCAGGTCATCCGTATATACGAGAACAAAAATTTCGTGGAATTCGAATGGCTGGTTGGCCCCATTCCAGTTGAAGAAGACTTTGGAACCGAAGTGGTAACCGTCTTCAGCAGTGAAATATCCTCCAGTGGAGTATTTTACACTGATTCCAATGGTCGTGAGATGATCAGGCGCGAAAAGGACAAACGTGAAGATTTCGACCCCGAGCTATCAGTGCAGCCAACTTCCGGAAACTATTACCCGATCACATCCCGCATTGCTCTGCAGGACAGTAACAAGCGAATTGCCCTTCTGAACGATCGTTCTCAGGGAGGATCCAGCATGAAGGACGGTCAGTTGGAGCTCATGTTGCACCGTCGTCTCGTCCGGGACGATGGCTACGGAGTGGGAGAAGCTTTGAACGAGCTCAAGTACGGTCAACCAATGGTTGCTCGTGGTAAGGTATACCTCATTCTTAATGACGCCGACGAGTCTACATCCGTGGAGCGGGAGGCCGAGAAGGAGTTCCACCTCCCTCTGTGGAAGTTCTTTAGCAAGAACTCCGGAAGCAGTAGCTCGGCTTCCAAGTCGGTTCCCAGTTTCGAGGACTTCCCCCAGTCGGTGCACCTTCTTACCCTGGAGCCTTTTAACGATGATGAGGTCCTGCTGCGTGTGGAGAACTTCAAGGATCACATCGAAGGCAATGTGGTTAGCTTCAACATTCGCCCGATATTCGATTACTTGAATGGATTGGAAATTCGCGAAACCACCTTGGACGGCAATCTACCACTGAGTGACTTGAAGCGATTCAAGTTCCACGCTGAAGGTTCGGGAGCGTTATCAACTGAAGCTGAGTATTACACGTCAGCTCACAAGCCTCTGTCAGCAATCGAAACGCAAGACGCCTCTGAATTTGCGGTCACCTTATACCCAATGCAGATTCGAACATTTATCATCAAGATTCAATAATATGAATATTTTGTACCACCTTACTTTTCCTGCTTAAATAAATAAAATTATATACGATATATATTTGTATTGCCATATTTCTGTTCAAATATACGTCGAGGATTTATGGTACTTCGTTATTCTGTTATAGAATTGTTGACCAAATTAAACGATATGTCACAACCGCTGACTTCTTGGACCAAATAAAGCATTTTGTTTATTGTCTTCTGTAACACCTGCTTGAATTGGAAAATGTTGGGTCTGTAGAAAATATATAATACGAATAACTGTATAAATGTATCCTACAAAATCTCTGCAAAATTTGTGCGATTTAAGGGCCTTAACAGTAGCAACACATTGGTCTTTGTGGTTCATCCTGATAAGAATATATTCACATTTTGAAGTCTTTACCTGTCTCATACGGTTTTTTACCAACCTAGTGGGTAATTTCACACGCTTCCCCCAAAAGAGGTTAAGCAATTAATTCATGCTATTATAAATGAACAAATACATATTAATCAGCAAGGTATCAAAAAAAATAGCAAATAATAATTTAATTACTCAATTCGCTTCTTATTTGATAAGACTGTAAGTGCATTACAGTGGCTATTGAGCTACTCAAGTGGAAGATAAAAAATTGGTCTTAAAGCTTTATCTTGCGGACAACTTAAGGGTTAGTGTGCTAAAAATAAACTGTAATTAATCATTAGTATTTTATGAGCTGTTAAATACGTTACCTTATCACAGTAGCCACCTTTGTCAGTTCTTATCACGTCATACTTGAGAGTTTTGCGGCTTATAAAGCAGCGGTCTTCGGTAAAAAGAAGTCAGTAATTGCTAATGATGACATATCTCGCTCGCAATTTTCTCTTGACCATCATATTGGTGGTCATTGTAAAACAATCAGAGTCCGTTTGTGGCTATGAGGTAAGTGAAACGTATTGGATTTATACAAAATGTGTCCATATTCTCATTTTCCGTAGTCATGTCCTGCAACGAAAGTGAACATGGTCAACATTCACCTGGTTCCCCACTCCCACAATGATGTGGGTTGGCTGAAGACTGTTGACCAGTCCTACTATGGCTACAAGAACGACATACATCATGCTGGCGTGCAATATATATTGGATAGTGTTGTGACCCAGCTCATTCAGGATCCCAAGCGTCGCTTTATACAGGTGGAGACGGCCTTCTTTGCAAAATGGTGGAAGGTCCAGTCGGAGACCATGAAAAAGGTAGTCACAAAGCTGGTCAACGAGGGTCGTTTTGAGTTTACAGGTGGCGCTTGGAGTATGAATGATGAGGCAGATGTTAATTACCAGGGTGTGATTGACCAGTTTACGGTGGGTTTGAAGTGAGTATATAAAAAGCTGTTATTTCTTTCGGTAATTTATCAACATGATGTGTATAGGTTCCTCAACGAAACCTTTGGGGCTTGTGCTCGTCCTCGGGTTGGATGGCAGATCGATACTTTTGGACACTCCCGCGAACAGGCAGCCATTTTCGCTCAAATGGGATACGATGGTCAGTTCTTCTCTCGAATGGATCACAATGACAAGGAGACGCGCTTGAAAAACCGGACCATGGAGATGATTTGGGATGCCAGCGAATCGATGAGTGGCGTCAACCTCTTCAGCGGCATGCTTTACAATTTTTACTCGGACACTCCTGGCTTCTGTTTTGACATCCTTTGCACCGATGAACCTATTATCGATGGCAATAGCATTGGAAACAATGTGAAGCAAAGGGTAGATGACTTCATTAGTTATGCAAAGGAAATGTCAGAGCACTATGTCACCAATCACATCATGGTTCCAATGGGCGGTGATTTCCAGTATGAGGATGCTAAGGTCAACTACAAGAACATGGACAAACTTATCAAGTAAGAGCGGGTAAGGATATAAAATCAATTCTAAATATATATTCGATTAGGTACATAAACGAACGTCAGGCATCTGGATCCGCTTACAACATTTTCTACTCTACTCCGAGCTGTTATCTAAACTCATTGCACCAGAGCCTGGAGTCGTGGCCCAACAAGACCCAGGACTTTTTTCCCTATGCCCATGAACGCAACAGCTTCTGGACTGGCTTTTTCACTTCACGTCCCAACCAGAAACGTTTTGAGCGGGATGGAAACCACATGCTGCAGGTGGTCAAGCAGCTTTCTGTGCTGGCTAATCTGACGAGCGAACAGCAAAACAATGATCTGCACTATCTGCGTCAGATTATGGGAGTAATGCAGCATCACGATGCCATAACTGGAACCGAAAGGCAGGCCGTTTCGGATGATTACGATCGATTGATGTACGATGCCATAGTTGGAGCATCCAACAATGCCCGCGATGCTCTGCGAATTCTCACCAACATGCCCAATGGGGAGTTCGAAATTTGTCTGCGGTTGAACATCAGTGAGTGTGCCTTTACCAAGGATAGTGCTGACAACGTGGTCGTGACTTTGTTTAACCCACTGGCTCATACCTCAACGCAGTATGTGCGCATTCCCGTGAAAGAGGAGAGCTATCAAGTCACTGATGAAAAGGGCAATCAAGTTCTTTCTGAAGTGGTCCCAGTGGCCGGACAAGTTTTGGCATTGGAATACCGTCCCAATGATACACAGCATGAATTAGTTTTCAAAGCTACAGCGAATAAAATCGCCAGCTACTTTATCAAAAAAGTGGAGAGCAGTCAGACAGCCACAATTAAAATGAGAGAAAATAATGATCCCGAGACTGTAGTAGAAAATTCAGTAAGTATAATTATTTGCCAGATAACAAAGGTGTATATTATTCTAAACTTTTTAATTAACAGCTTGTTAAACTGGTAATTGACAACAAAACAGGACGCTTGAAATCTGTTGAGATGAACGGTGTGTCTGAGAAAATAGTCCAAGACTTTGGCGTCTACAAGACTCACACTTCTTGTGCATACACTTTCCGTCAAGATGGGGACATTGAAGTTTTTGAAGATGATTTCGTATCAACAATTTATGAAGGAACGTTGGTCAAAGAAGTCCACCAGCAGGTGAACGAATGGATCTCGCAAGTGATCCGAATTTACGAGGGCGTCAATCGTGTGGAGTTCGAATGGATGGTAGGACCAATTCCAATCGATGACAAACTGGGTAGAGAGTTTGTCACAAACTTCAAGAGTGAAATTTCATCGAATGGTGTTTTCTACACCGATTCCAACGGACGTGAGCTGATGAAACGGAAAAGGAATATGCGTGAAGACTTTGTTGCCGACTTGAGTCGTCAGCCTGTGAGCGGAAACTTTTATCCCGTGACATCCCGAATCGCTCTACAAGACGAGAGCAAGCGATTGGTCCTTCTTAATGATCGTTCCCAAGGGGGAGCCAGTTTGGAAGATGGTGCTTTGGAGATGCTCCTCCACCGGCGCCATCTCTTCAACGATGGTGGAGGTGTGGGTGAAGCTCTGAATGAGACGCAGTATGGTAAAGGTCTAATAGCCCGAGGCAAACTTTACCTTGTTCTTGACTCCGTGGAAAAGGGAAATACTGCAAATGAACGAAAGGCGGAAAAAGAACTGTTCCTTCCCTTCTGGAAATTTTTTAGCAGGGCCAGTAAAACCGAACAGCTTACAACAAAAAACATTCCCGACTTTAATGATCTTCCTCAGTCGGTTCATCTTCTTACCTTAGAGTCCTTTACTAAGAACGAAATTTTGTTGCGTTTCGAGAACTTTCTGGATAAAACTGAGGGCAGCCTGATCAGCTTCAACATTCGTGATATATTCGACAACTTGGGTGGCCTATCGATTAGGGAAACCACCTTGGATGGTAACTTGCCACTACAAGAAATGAAGCGATTTAAGTTCCATGCCCAAGATTCCGGAAATAAGCCATCAGTCGCGGAATATTCTACAGCACCACACAATCCTCTTGAAGCTGATAAATTTGATGAAGCTTCTATGTTTACTGTGTCATTATATCCAATGCAAATTCGCACTTTTGTCATTAAAACGGATTAATTGACATACAATTTGAACAGTAAAAAGATACGATTAAATATATAAACTATGTTATATTCTGGGCTAATCAAATATATATTATTCGAAAAAAATTGAATGTCATTTCCTGAGTTCGTCACTCACTTTCACTTTTTTGAGATTAGAACTCGATTCATTATTTTTCGGAAAGCTACAGTGGTTCAAAATCATAAAACCATCCTTATCTTTAAGTGGGCAATCGTCAATTAAAATCCATTTAAGTAAATGAGTAATTGAATGATAAGAACTGCAATTCAATGTCAAATTCCAGATAAGACCACGAGTAAGTACAATATATTTATGTTGTGAGGTACTTACCCGTTGCCAGCGGTTGGTCCTTAGTTAATTAGTGCTCTTGACTAGGTTAAATTCAAAACATTCTGAAGTAGTGATAACTTATCAGGTAACCCCCCTCAGAAGTGGAAAAGTATTGGCCAAGTGAGAATTCCGTAAAATGGTTGAAACGAAAGTCTTGACCGAGTTGTTGGCCTTATTTGCCTTTGACATAACTCAATCTGAGGCTGTTTGCGGATGTAGCGCGTGGTAAACTATTCCTCTACCTGAACGCCGTGGAAGATGGAGCCACTGCATCAGAGCGTTTGGCGGAAAAGGAAATTCATCCACCCGTCTGGAAGTTCTTCAGCAAATCAAGTAACAATCCAAATGAAGCATCTAAGTCGTTGCCCGATTTTAATGACTTATCTCAGTCCGTTCATCTGCTCACCATGGAACCCTATTCCAAAAATGAAATTCTTCTGCGATTTGTGAACTTTTTGGACCAATACAAGGGCAAAGTGGTTAGTTTTAACATTCGACAGATATTCGATGATCTTGGTGGACTGGAGATTCGGGAAACAACCTTGGATGGCAACCTTCCACTAAGTGATATGAAACGCCTGAAGTTCCATCATGATGGTTCTGGTCCTATTCCACTAACTCCTGAGTATTTTACGAGCCTACATAAGCCCTTGTAAGCTGATAAATCCCAGGATACCTCGGAATTCAGTGTCACTTTACAACCCATGCAAATACGCACATTTATTATCAAAAAGAAGGTAACTTTAGAAATATAACTGGAATACTAAAAGAATATCCTGATTTCTTACAATTTTTACATTTTTTTATGTTTTGCAATTCAAGTAAATGATATTGTAAAACTCGATTTTGAATTTGCAAATAGTGTTCATGATGTCATCATTTTTGAGACGACTGCAGAGCTCCCCAAGTCGCCGAACCGCAATGATAATTACGAATCCGAAACGTCGATTCGGGATTATCAGTATCAGCCGCTCCGCAGACTTCTTATATTTACCGCTTACAATGCAGATACATTTACTGCATTGGCTTCCACCCAGCCAGCACACCCACAGAAAAACACCTCAAATCCTGGCCTGAGTCGGCATAAGTCCTTTGGTTATTTGGTGAACCCGTGGCTTCCGACTCCCCCTCGTTTGCATTTCCATTTTGAGCTTTCGGCGTGGTGCAACGCCTTGTCTAAATACATTTATATATATATATATATATTTAAGTAGAAATGATATCTGTATGCGATGGCTCGTTGTTGTTGTTGTTGTTGGTCTAATGCTGCTAATGTCTGGCACTCGAAAAAAGATTTGCGCCCAATACCCCTTGTAGTTGAGCCCCTGCCCACTAAATACTTTTGTGCCAAACACCACACTCGCATTGCAGGAGTGCTGGTCCTGTGGTCCTGGGCTTTTATTATTAAGTTCGCCACGGGAGACTTTAATCTTCCGTCTCCTGGTTGGGACAGCCGGCTCACACACAGATCTACACCCTCGGCTCTACTCCATTTCACTTCACTTCGCTGCGATGCAAAACAATGAACTCCTGAATTCATGCCATATGTGTGTGCGAGTCCTGTGTCCTGTGAGTCCTGTGAGTCCTGGGAGATGGGAAAAATTATTTAATATTGCCCGTCTTAGGCGAAGTTGAGGCGTTGTTTGGTACTAATCCTTGGCGAGCATTAGACACGGAATTTAATTTAGTTCCAGCTGCAGCCAGGAATGGCACACAGTGCCAAAATATCAACAAAATTAAACAGAAATCCCAAATAGTTGTAAAATCTGGTCAGAGATAATCAAATGAATCATTCTAAGAGAGCTATGGTATATGTTGTATTAGGTCAGCAAAGTAGTCTTGATAACAATAAGCCGATAGAACCTAAGTTATGGTTAGATCAGTATATGACAATAAAAAATATTTGCACTAGTAAGGGTATTTGTAATTAAATATTAATATAACAACATTTTTTATGATTTTTGGTTGTGAACTTTCGTTTCATGATTAAATTAAATTCCTGTATTATTTATTGTTATATTTTTGTTATTTTATTGCTAAGGATTTTTATCAAGTCTTATGAACATTGTATACATTAATGGCTATATATATGAAATTTAAATGATTTTGAATAAAACTCACACAACAATTTCCAACAATTTCAACAACAAAAACTATATTTTTATTTGGCATGATTTTTTTTATTTCCTTTTTTTCTCTGTACTAGACTTGCCACAGTATGGCCTGGCATATGTGTGCCAAGCACCCCATGCTGGCTGTCAAACTCTGCTTTGCCGACTTCCGGTCGAGTTGGCGCTTTTAATTTAAATGAAACCCATACAACAAGCCACCCACCACCCACTTGGCTCCTGTTTACTCGCTGAGCTGGGCAGATAATCCAACTTTGATTAAGTAATTTCAACGTTGGGGAACGTAATAAGTTGGGTGTGCAAATCCAAGACTCAGTCGTTTATTCCCATATGTCGGCCTGGTGAAGCCAACAAAAACCAAAAAGAAAATCACCACGAAAGCATCATTATAATTAGCACAAGGCGCTATATTTCAGTACATTTCTGCTGTGCTCAGTTTTTTGCTCGCAGGTTTTTGGTAATGGGTTAATTTCTTTATACCGTGCTATCTAATTGTATAAGTGAGGTAATTGATTGATTTTTAGAGAAACTTGTTAAATTGTACTATTTCAAGAATTTTATTTTATTTTGAATTTCAGATTAAAGATAGTTTTTTTTACTTAAATAAATAGTCTTTAAATCAAGCCATACTAATAAAATAATTGCTTCCAATGTGTTGTGTTTTGACAAGAAAACATAAGACTGATAACGAACACTTAAAAACCAATAAAGAGATCTAAAGCAACAACATTCAAAATCGTCCAGCAAGTTGACTTAATTAGCAATCAGTTCTAATAAACAATAGGTTAAAGTGCGGTCAATAATAATGAAACAAGGGAAATCCAATTCTAAAGAATTTTATATCACTAGAATGTTATATTTCTGGGCAAATGAACACTCAATGTTCGGATAAACTAAAAAACTAAAAAACAATTGATTCTGGATTAAATTAGAGTTTGATTTCTTTAAAAAACGAAAACAAAAAACACAACAAATTTTCAAAAGGTTAACATAATTTAATTTAAATCGATACATTTAAACTTGCCGTTTTAGACCGGAATTTAGCTGATAGCACATGTAATGTTGCTTTTTAAGGCCGGAAACATTGCTGTCTTATCCACGTTGTCCAACAATTTAACGTAGTCAACGGTTCTAAATCTTATGACCTGAGTCACTGAGAATGATTTTCGACAATAAAATTCAATGATTTATTGTCGTTGTTCGGTTTTAATCTTTCCCTGACTTAATGACAATTTAAATTGAGCTTATCAAATCTGTATGTTCGCCAAGCCAAACAGCAAAAAAATCCCCTTTAGTTTTGCTTGAGAGATTTATATCAATATACATTTCTCTTAGCACGAGTATATTATTTTATTGTTAACTGTTTTAACTGATTTTATAATTCGTTTTTACACGTTTTTTTCACAACGTTGGAACAAATTAATAATATTGCTTTTTATAAATGCCCAAATCTCTTTGGACTTTATCTAAGTCTGGCTAGACAAAATATTAAAAAACAATTAATTCAAATAATTAATTCTTAGAAAAGAAAATACAAGCAAAGGTTAAAGTGGCGTTTCCACTTATTTAACAATTAATTAAGATGATGAAGTCACCCAATGTCAAAAAACCAGAGATTCAAATTGAAAACAAGTGTGAATTGAAACAGTTGATAAGCCAGGGATTTCCGAAGAAAAAACATTATCTCTAAGCCGTGACGCCAACAAAAATTCGCAATTTTTTGTAGATTTGCCTATAAAAAGACGCTCTAATTAAAATATGCTGGCAGTTCACTTTCTCTACTGTGGTGCGACACTTGGGTTTTGGCAATATGCGACACCTTATAGTACTCATCCTGCTTGGCATTTCCTGCAACAATGTCTTTGCGAGAACACTGGTGAGTTTACAATTCAACATCCCCATGATCCCGGCCACTTATTCGACTGTAATTCTTGACAGAAACAATTCGAAGGCCTCGACCTGGAACGAAGGTTACTTCGACTAGAAGCTCGTCAACTTTCCGATAGCGATAATATTGAGCGCAGGCTGCTGCGCTTGGAAAACCAGATGGCACCTCAACAAGATGCAGGAATGTTTAATGCAATTGAGCTGGCACCAAATGTTTACACAATATTCCCATCAAGGACAGAAGGGGAACCTCCTGTAGAGCAAACCAATTTTGTTGAAGAACTCAAAAAAGTTGAACAAAAATTGGAGAAGGATCTGGGAGGTCAGCTTGCTGAACTATCTTCTAAGTATGACAGCCTTTCAGAGAAGCTCTCCAACATTGAGAAACAGGAAACAGCCCCACTTAAAGATTTCCCGTATGACAAATTTATGGCGCACACAAAGGCAATTGTAATTAAAAGTGATCAATCGGAGCCGATATTCTCAGCCTACGAAAAGATTGGTGAAAAGAATTATTATATTGAAAAAATAGAAAAACTCGATTGGCCAAGTGCGGTTAGAAAATGTAAGGAATTGGATGGCCAACTGGTTAGTCTTAAAAGTGAAAAGGAGTGGAGAGAAATCAAAAATCATTTAGACTTGGAGAAAAGCTATTGGACTGATGTTAATGACATTAAAACTGAGGGAGAGTTTGTATCTAATTCTTCCATTGACGTTGGCATCGATGAAGACTCATTGAGTTTTTTCCGCAAGAAAAAACCTTTCCTTAAATGGAATTATCAAGAACCAAATAACCTAAACAGGGAAGACTGCGTGGAGTTGCGAGGAGGCTATTATCACAAAATGAACGACATAAACTGCTTCAACAAAAATTACTTTATATGCGAGGAAGTATCAGTTACAAGCCAACGAGAAAATACTGACATGTTCCGTTTCTAAAAAAAAAATTCAAGTCTTTGAAGATTAAAATGTAAATAATAAACCATTATATTTTAGTTTTGTTTATTTTGTATTTCAAAAGTAAAAGTAAGCAGCACAATAATGTGTGTTATTTTTTATAGAAAACCAACCAATGCTTAAAGCAAGTTCAAAGGGAGCTCGAATCAGAGCACATGTGCATTAGTCTAAACGATTCGGATGAAAATAAAGAACAATGGACAAATGGCAAGCTAAGCGGCTAAACAAATATCGTCATCGGGCATAAATCCTCTCACTAAAGCGCTCACTCGACAACTCAATAATACGAGTACAACAGCGGCAAAAAAGAACGATCCAAAGTGTGCTTTTTGGCACTTCAAATACAGGGAACTGCAGTCGGCTTATAGACAATCGGTTGGCTGGCTGGCTGGCTGGCTGGCTGGTCCCCCGGCGAATCCATTGGACCTAAGGCCCCCGGCGGTAAATTGTGGGCAAGTCAGTGGCTCTGTGTCCCTATGTATGTCATTTTAATCAACGGAAACATGCATCGGATTATCCGACAGCTAAACAACACCGCAGTGCCAATGAATGGAAAAGCGTTTCGTTTTGACAATTGGCACTACGATGCTCAACTCGCCCCGCTCCAAATGTTGCCCTCCCCCCGAACGACAATTAAATGCGCAGTGAGGCTCATGCCTACTTAGGGTCTATAAAACAGCGTTCACATGCTGAACATAAGAGTACGTTCACTGGAAAAAATGTTGGTAAAATTAAAATGCAAAGTTCTACTGTCCATACACTGATATTAAAATGGAATAGAACAAATAAATATCTGTATATATATGTATGTTGTATATTTAATATTAAAATATAATATTAAATCATAATATTAAATACAAAGCATATTAAATTCAATGATTTATGTGGAAAATATTATTATCTGATTTAAATGCATTTTATCTAAATAAAATTTGGCTTAAATGCAAAATAAATTTTCAGATCTTAAAATATATAAGAAATTAAATAAAATAATTAATAAATAAATATCAAGCAAAAAATATTAAAATTGAAAAGAATCCAAATATTTTAATTTACATCGTTTTGTTTACCAGTGTCCTCGTTCTTTCTTTGAAATATTATATTACACACATTTAAATAAAATATGATGTCTAAATTAAGCATACGATTTTCTAAAAAATATTATTATTATATATTTTTGTTTACGAGGATCATTTTCAGTTTTTTTTTGTAAAGTATTTGCAGTTGCAAACTTAAATAATGTTTTAATTTGTCTAAGACACACCAAAGTTTGCAGACACCATTTAAATATTACATTTAATATTGTTATTTTCTGCCAGAAAGCTCTTTTAAATATATTACAAAAACTTGACATTTTCTACATATGAGTAATACAATTGGTCAATACACAAAAATTGAAATTCACATTTCAAACTTGTTTTCCGAAGTGTACGAGATGTCTATACGGTATGTTTCCAGGCGCTTGCGAATTTATTGAACCGCAACAAATGTCATTGATGTCATCATCAACAGCATCATCTGCCACTGCAGCTCGTGATGATCGGCAAAGGCATTATGAAAATGCGACATCGACAAGCGTATCCGAATCTTTTTATTAGCAACAAGTTTTTAATATCACAGCAGGAGCTCACATCCAAGAAGGAGGTAGAGGTAGAGACTGCCATGAAATGCTTCAAACTTTTAACAATAGCGCCCTAGTCTATCTATATCCCAACTCCCGCCCTTCCCCCGCGGTTCCTCCCCAGGACGAGCATCCCTTGGTGAGCGCCGATTTTATAAGAATTTAATATGCGCCACGTATTTTGATGTCGAGGATGTGTTTCGGTTTATTCGTACTAGTCCTTTCTTTTTTGCGCAGTTCGTTGAATCATTCATACTGTGAGTAAAAGAGCAGACTTCCAAACAGGCTACAAAATATAAAACTGGTTTGAAAGTTAAATTGTAATTAATGTGAATAAAAAAAAAATAATTTATTTAAAATTAAATATTATTCCATTGCAGTATTTTTTAACGTTTAGTAAAAAAAATTTTAAATTGAAGAAAAGTCTATCTGATTAAATAGAAACATACATTTCAACTCATTGCAAATTAAAACATATCCTTACTGAAATTGCGCATGATTAGTAAATGCAGTCCCGTCTTATCTTTTGAAAACGTCGACGTTTTCTTCATTACATCATAACGATTATGAAATAAATACTTCCGTTTCTTTGAGTCGTTCCATGAGTCTTAAGGAGTGCGGGGTGAGAAATTCCGCTTCACTTCTCGCTCGCACTGTGATTTTCCATGGAGGAGAAATAAATCAACTGCATGTCCTGTTCCCGGCGATTGCCAGGAGTCCTCGCTCATTCTCCGTCTCCTTTGAGAATCGTGTATTTATTGTTGCGTTTTTAAGTTTGGAATTTTTAATTTATTGCGCATCCTTCATTGTTGAAAGTTATAATTCTTGCATCTTTGGAGACGGGGAAGGGCCTGCTTAAGGAATAAAATATATTTGCCAGCGTGTCTCGAAAATTATGATGTATGTGCAATAAATAATCCGAAATAAATAAATTATCACCAGAGGTTTTTCGGGCAGGACCGGCCCGAGTGGCGCAACTAATAGATGCTGGTTTTCGTTCCGTCCTGGATGGAACTCCTTTTTTTTCCACTCGGATTTCTATGATTTGTTGGTGGACCCGTCGTCTCTGTGCGCGAGTGTGTTTTCCTGGTGGTTTTACACATTTACAAGGGTGCTAATGCTAGTTTTGTGCACTTTTTCTTTGGTTTCGTGTGTGAGTCCCTAATTCTACTCCTTGGCAATCCTTTGGCCGGGCCATAAATCATGGCTTGATTTGGCGCCTCGCATGTGTCCGGGCATGTCCTTTGTCTATTTGCCTAGCACACGGCATCCTTTTGTTTAAATGCGCCAAATATACTCGTCCTAGTCGTTGACTGTCCTGCCAACTACAATTTTCGTTGGTTTTTTCATCGCTCCTTTTTGTTTTAGCCCGGGGTTAACCCTTTTAACCCTTGGCAAGCGACTCCTCTTTGGTTAACCACGGACAGCACTAGATGACATTTTTCCAGGACATATTGCCACGACACTGAGGTCAACCTTTTTCATGTTCATTGGCTTTGCCACTCGCACAATGCGAGTTCGCCTTTGCCCCACAGTTTTTGGTCATAAAAATCGTTTGATTTTATTTTTTTCATTTATTGCAACCAACTAATTGCGAAGAATTTTTTTTAAATTAGTTTTATGAGCATCGCATTAATTATCATCGATAGCTAAGACCCCATAAAAAGTTCATAATTTATTAGTATTAGGTGCGGTGCTCTCATTGAGAACTTCTTAAAATTATTATTTTTTTTCCTTCCAAATCATCTTCTTATTTAAGATCTTCGTAATTTAAAGGTGTATTTCATTTAAATGTATAGCTTTATTTATCGTATAGGTATAGCCTTATTTTAGAAACAACACTTTAGAGTATTGTTAGTCAAATAAGAAATCTGTAAGATTAAATATTTAATATCAGATTGAGAGACCGATTCGTGGGGTATCCAAGTTAAAGAAATGCGCTTTAAAAAAAGCATACCACCTAAGTGTCCATATCATCGGAAGTAATTGCAATTCCGTTTGTTTTAAGTTTTAAGGTTTGTACTAACATTTGTGAAAAGTGATAATGTGAAAATAGTTAAATATTCAGTCCAAGAGCAGGATTTTGATAAATCCATGGATTAAAGACAGGCAAATGCAGTAGCTTCCATCTCAAGAAGTAGCCCCCTCATGTGGATATACATTAAGATGCGGTACATCTGCCCTTTTGACTTGACCTCGTACCGCTCATTGCAAAGGGGGCTGCGGCGGGGTCAGGGGTCAGGGGCATGGACGCGGCTATATTGAGGCGCCGAGGGTAGGGGCAGCATTTTGCCGTAACTGTCTTTGTCGCAATGTCGTAAATAAAGTCGGGGCAGGCATCCTCGCCGAACATTGGAATTTATGCGCGTTGATTTATTTGCTGTTAGCGATTTATTGCTGCCGCAGCCGCATCCCATCGTGCAGCCAGGACGCAGCGAGTGCGAGAGGGACGGGGTATTTGTGACGTAACTGCGGACGTCGCCAGGAGCAGGACACACGTATTGGGCATGTCCTGGTTTCGGCTCGGATCCGCATCCGCATCCGCATCCAGTGCCCCGCTCGTTATTAAGTTTTTAATTTATGGCCATGTGAATGCAATGGGATGCAGATTCCAACAAGGATCTTCCTGGCTCCCGTTGTTTTTCCCATTTTATTTCCATCGCATTTTGCGAAATTATATATTTTAATTGAGCGTGCCGCCCAAAATATCCACCGACCATCCATCCGCCCCATCAGTCTCCCTGCCTTCCCCTCTAATCCCCAGCGGCTGTCAAATAAACGCCCTGTGTTGACAGTTTGCCGCTGACGGCCACATCAACGACAACGAAAATATTGAAATTATTATGACTTTGTCTCCGCCAGATTCTGGCCTTATTTAGAAGTTATGAGAACCCATTTCGACGCATGATTACCTTTTAGACTAGGCTTTTTTTTAATTCTGCTGTCGACTTATTAAAACACAACTTGTCCTTGATTATACATATGCATGTATTTAATCATTAGGCAAATTTATTTTTGTTTGTATGTCTTTACCGTAAACTCTAGAATAAAATGTATATTTTTTTTCTTTTGCCAAATATTATAGACTATAATCTATAAACTATAAACTTCAGATATTTAAGTTTCAGGATATGTAAAAACTATTGTTGCTGAGGGTTTTGACATATAGAAAGATGTTATAACTAACAATAGTTAAAAAAATAAAAATATAAAAGTTGTATTTGCCATATCTCGTTTCAAATGTCGAGCACAGATAGATTGACTTGGACAATCCGGGTGTAGTCTGTACACCCCTCGCCTTACCCTGTATAAATATATTAAATTCTGGGTGGCTTCCTGGTGGAAGGCGGGGTGCCAGGAAATGCGGCCGGGGGCGGTGGCGGCATCCGTCGGCGTCCGAATGCGGCGAC